GTGTATATATATATATATATATATATATATATGTTTATCATATATATATATACATGTATGTTTTTCATATATATATTTTTATATATATATTCTGGTTTTCATGTCAAAATTTCTTTTTTTTTGAGAGATTTGTTTGTTTGTTTTTTGCTATAGGGCGTATGCACTGGTCAGAGAGACAGAGACAAAGAGACAGAAAGCAAGAATCATCCCCCAAGGAGGATGGCCACGCCACAATCCCTTCTCCTCCAGTCTACTTTTGGGATTTGGGATGTACGCACATGTGCTGTGCATGAGTTTTAAGCCACCAGGCACAGAACTCGAATCACAGTTGACTACGTGGAAGTCCAGCGATGAAACCACTATGCAATCTGCTGGTCCCCATTCTTTCTCTATTCTTTAAAACTATTTATTAAAGCTTGCTTGTACAACTATTTAGTGGATACCAAGAAGAGGTAGGTTGAAGATGAAGGTGGGTAGAGGGAAGAATGGGGATGTGTGCTACTGATTCAAGAGTCTCTTTTTGGAACCAGCAGTTAGTGTAATGGCTATGTCACTGGACTCCCATGTAGTCGACTGCGGTTTGAGTCCCAGACCTGGCCGCTTAAACTCACGCTGAGTACGTGTGCATGCATGCCCAAGATCCCGAGAGGAGAATGGAGGAGAAGGGATTGCGGTGTGGCCATCCCCCCTGGGGGGTGATTTCTCACTTTCTGTCTCTCTGTCTCTCTCTGTCTTTTTGGCGAGTGCACACGCCCTATAGCAAAAAACCTCTCCAAACAAACAAACAAAAAAAGACTCTCTTTTTAAAGTTTTTTTTTATAAGAGAGAGACCGAGAATGACAAGCACCCTCAACACCCTCAGTCTTATACTGTGAGACCTGCCCCTGAAGCGTTTAAGCCAACAGTGATCCCAGGCAGTGCACATAAAGGTTGAACTGGGACTTGAACCCCAGTCTTCTATATGGCCTCCAGTACTGAAGAGCATTACATTACCACTGTTCCAACATGGCTGTGCCTGATTAAAATCTTTTAATGATGTATTGGCCTATTAGTTTTTCTGTTTCTTCCTCAGGTAGTGTGGTGATTATACATTTCCCTTTAAATTTGTTAATTTTCTCCTATATTTTCATATTTACTGGCAGAAAAGCAAAAACCAATCTCTAGTTTTGTCTCTGTTCCCTCTTCTTATTTCTAGTTTGTATGTATGTGTATGCATGCACTCACGTGTGCCTTTTCTCATTTTCTTCCTCATGCTAAAGTAGGGTTGGATATGAATATACCTGTCTCAGTTTTCTTTTGATAGCGTTTGGTTTGTGTCTCTTCTTACATTTGTTTGTTGGGGATCTTTGATTTGCTGCTATTTTAGCAACATTGACTGAATTTTTTCAATATCCAGTCAGATTCTGGTTATTTTATCGGAGAAGCTTAATCTATGTTCATTTATTGCAATTCTTGACCTTTTGGGACTCTGTCTCATTAAAACTTACTATGCGATTTCTTGCATTTTTTTCTTCCCTTTCTGCCTTCTTTTTTTAATGTTCAAACTTTCTCAGTACATGTCCCCCTTCTACTAGTTAAGAAGTTAATCAATTTCTGTTTTTCCCCCCAGTGGTTACAATTATATTTTGGTATCTACAATGAACAAAGCCCAATTTTTTTTAGACTTACTTAATTTTATTTATAATTATTATTTTGTTTAATTTTGCTATCAGGCGTGTGTGCTCACCAGAGACAGGGAGAGAGAAAAAGGGAGAGAAAGTGAGAAAAGTCTGGGACTCCAACTGTGGTCAGCCACGTGGGAGTCCAGAACATGGACTTAATCATCATGCCACCTGCTGGCTCCAACAGAGTCCAATGCTCATCAAAATGCCTATCGTGCTTCTAAATAACATCTGAGAATAAGTCCCACAGCCCTCTTCCATTATTTTCTATGTTACTATTTAATATTTGAATTCCAGCTTATTCTTAGTAATTCTATGTTAGTCATTTTTACAGTCACTATATATTTAGATTTACCGATAGCTTTATTAATTCCTTTGCTGGCATTGTTCCTTATATCCTGCTTCATTACTAGTTTAATTTCTTCTGACTGAAACATGTCATTTTGACATATTGCAGCAAGGATCTGTAAATGCATGTACTTGCATTCAACAAATGTCTTTGTTCTTCCTTACTCTTGAATTCTATTAGCTGGAATAGAATTTTGTATTGACAGCTTTCTTTTCTCAGTGTTGTAAAATATTATCCACAATCTCCACAATCTATTGAGCAAATGAGAAGTCCACTGTCAGTCTGATTTCTATTCCTTAGTAAAAATTTATCTTTTCTCTCATTTGGCTTTTTATACTTTTCTTTTTTCTTTTACTTATGCTAATTTATTATAAATTGTGTAAGTTTGGATGTATTGTTATTTCTTCTTATTAAAGCTACTTCAATAGAAGAATTCATGCCCTTTTCATTTCTAAAAGAGATTTAGCTATTCTTTGAATATTGACCTTTTTTCATCATACTTTCTTCTTTCCCTTTTACAATTACTATATATGTATTTTGGACCTTATTCTATCTTCTGTGTCTCTTAACTTTTAATATTTTTTATCTCTCTATTTTTAAAGAATTATTTATTTAATGTTTTATTTATTCATTCATTTATTTTAATTTGGCCAGAGAGAGACACAGAGAGAGAGAGAGAGAGGAAGAAAGTGAGAAAACAAGCCACCAGGTGTAGGACTTGAACCATGGTTGACCATGTGGGAGTGTCCAGCACCTTAACCACCATGACACCCGCTGGTCCCATATTTTCGATCTCTTAATATCTCTGTGGTACATTCTGAGAGAGTTCCTTAGATCTTAACTAACTCACAGTTCCCTATTCTGATGTATCTAGTCTGCTTTTAAGCATCTACATTAAACTTTTTATTTTAAAAACTATATGGCATAATGGTTATGTCACTGGACTCCCATGTACTTGACCACAGTTCAAGTCCTGACTCGGCAGCTTAAAACTCATGCCCAGCACGGGACCAGCAGATGGCATAATTGTTACATCATTGTACTCCCATGTATCAACCATATTACAAGTCCTGGACCCAGTAGCTTAAAACTAACACCAGGCATGTGTGCATGCGTGCCCAAGATCCTGAGAGGAGTATGGAGGAGAATGGATTGCAGCATGGCCATCCCCCCTGGGGGGCGATTTCTCTCTTTCTGTCTCTCTGTCTCCATCTGTCTGTCTAGTGAATGTACATGCCCTATAGCAAAAATCTCCCTAAAAAAGAAAGGAAAAAAACCTCATGCATGGCACATGTGCATGCCCAAGATTCCGAGAGGAGAATGAAGGAGATGGGATTGCAGTGTAGTCATCTCCCCTAGGGGGTGGTTTCTCACTTTCTGTCTATCTCTACCTCTCTCGTGAACGCATAGGCTCTATAGCAAACATTTCTCTTAAAAAAAAATAAAGAAAGAACTATATTTATGATATCTATAACTTCTTTTGTTCTGTCTCCAAATCTGTAGTTCTTTTCTTTCCCACAGTTTCTTTTGGCAGAAAGCTAAGTGTAATATTTTCTTTATTTCATTGAACACTTAAAATATTTAGTTTAGATTCACTTCTTGTTGTTTTATTAATTAATTACTCTATCAGTTAAATCTTCTGACTCTCTTACAATAGTTCATCTTCTTATGCAGTTTTCTGTTTTGAACAGGGATCATTTTCTTTGGAAACCATAGGTACCATGGATCTTTACAGAATGATTTCAGATTTGCCTTTACAGGGTGGATTTGCATTTCAAGTACCAGTTTTGGCTTTGTGTCTCTAGAACATAAATTGTATGAATTTAGACTCCATATCTATACCTGGTGATGCATTTTCAAGCTTCTGACTTCTTGTGGGTGACTTTGCAACTCCTATGTCATAGTCACAGACTTCTCTGCTCATTCCCGGGAAGAGTGGGCAGATGTTTTTCAGAACTCGTTCCAGAGGTGGGACAACATTTTATGACTCTGGACTTTGAACTGATAGTTCAGTTTCAGCTTCCCATTCACATGAGACCTATAGTTCAGCCTTGCCCCTGACTCGGCTGTTGAACACTCAGGTGCACGCTTTCTAAGATCTCTCTTTATCTGGTTTTGATTTTTCTTTGAGATGGCAGGGCACAGTGGCAAAATGTGATTATCTGTGATCACCTGGGAAGGCTCCAGGTAGGTGTCCAGAGACTTTTCTGAGTATGCTGGACATACGTGAGCCTGTGACCTGGGGCTGGCTAAAGCTGAGGTGAATCATCAGGTCGAGACCCTGTTTTGTTACTATTTTGCTGATATACATTAAAAGAAGAAATATTAATGCCACGTGTCAATCATAGAAATCTGAAATTTATAGTAAGTGCTTTTTTCTCTTTTCTGTTCATTGTGTTCATTTTGGATGGTGGTATTATACTGCTAGGTGTCATAATTGAAGAATAAATTGTATTTCCTTCTTATTTTGTTCCAGAATGAGAGGTGAAAACATGTTTCCTTATTTGTGACTCTGAAAATGTGCAGTAAGAAGTTCCTCAGAAATAAAATCTTTATCTTGCAAAGGGAAACTAAAGCAAAAACAAAACAAGATGTCGGGAATGCTGTCTCTGTTTGTCTATCTCTGTCTTTCTCAGCTACTCATGGAAAAATAAATAAACCTAAAAAGATTTTCGCTTTGAGTCCCATGACTGCTATTCTCACTGGTATCTTTCATTTTGACTTTTGTCTCTCTGTCTGGCATAGAAAGATTTTACTTTGTTGTTTTCTATGTGAATTATGTCATTTGTGTGCAATTTTTTGTATTGCTATATGTCCTCCAGAATTTGTGTTTTGAGTAGGGTTGGTGTGTCTTCCACATCTGTTTAATTCACTGTATTGGCCAGACATATTCCTTCTCTAATAAGGAAAAAAATACAGAAAAGCTTTAAAATTTGTTGAAAGAAATGCTTTATTTTGAATAACCTTTTTTTTTCCTCCCTGCTTCTCAGTGCCGAATTTGAAGAACCTCATAATTATGAGGCAACCATTTCATATCTGAGACACTCTGGCAACTCCATTAACCTGTGCACTGCAAAAGAAATTGCTGATTGTAAGTCTGCTAAGCCAATTAATATTGTAACCTGCTGTAGAATGACAATGTGTCAAAAATGGTATTTCCCCCTCCCCAGCTAACTGAAAGTTTAAAAATTCACAGCCATTCTGCTCTACCCTCTCAGTTTTTTTTTTTTTCCCTTCCTAGGTCTTGTCCCTTAAAAATATAAATAAACCCAGCTGAGCATCAGTGCTATCTCATGACATCCATTGCTGCCTTCTCTCCACTTCTTCTTTTCTCTCCTTCACCAATCAACTTAGCTGCTTTTGCCTTTTGTAGATATGGGAGGGGAAAATCAAGATATGGTGATTCATTTTTCTTTCTTCTCCTCTGATAGAAACTTCATCTTTTCTCAGGGTGTCTTTCTTGAAGTCCCCTGGTTACTCGCTGTGTGGAGCCGGAGATAACAGACTGTGAGAATTAGGCCCCTGTGTTCAATCTGAATAGGGGCAGGGATTTATTTAATGGATCTGACCACTGGTTCAGAGCTAAGTCTTCCTGCCTCTGGTATTGCTGACAATGCTCAGACCTTTCTGTGGAAAGAGAGACCCTCTCAGGTAGAAAGATGAAGAAGCAGGGACTCGGCATTTCTACTACTTGCAAGTGCCTTTGTTCTGCCCGCAGAATCAGCCAGTTCTCTACACAAGGCAGACGTATTAGCGTTTAAATTAACATTAGTACTTATTAGGCCTGTACTATGAACTAGTTTCAGGTTGGGGGCGCTGCGTACATAATATGTTCAGAGTGTTTTATCACCCTATTGTTAGAGACAGGAAACAGAATATCAGAGATTGAGTCACACAAGGTCATATGAGTAACATGCAGTAGAGCTATCATGTGAAACAGGCTTGGCTTTGCTCGCAAATCCATGCTATTTCCATAATTTATGCTGCTTCTCATTTAAGGAAGTTTGACTTCCTTGGAAGGAAGGTTAAAGACAGACCATCTGGTCCAACCTCTTCATTGTATAGACAATAAACTCCAGGCTCTAGGAAGGGAAATAACTCTGCTGAATACATACTTAGGAAGTTCGTACTTAGAATTAAGAACTATTGAAATTTTTCTCCTGGGACCAGCAGTTAGTGTAATGGCTATGTCGCTGGACTCCCATGTAGTCGACCGCAGTTTGAGTCCCGGACCCGGTGACTTAAACTCACGCTGAGTGCGTGTGCATGCATATTCAAGATCCTGAGGGGAGAATGGAGGAGAAGGGATTGTGGTGTGGCCATCCCCCCTGGGGGGAGATTTCTTGCCTTCTGTCTCTCTGTCTCTCTCTGTCTTTCTGACAAGCGCACATGCCCTTTAGCAAAAACCTCTCCAAAAAAAAAAAAAAGTTCCTCTCTTCCACAGGAAATACGAGATTGAAGAATTACTAGAAAAAAAGAAATCCCTCACTTATAGACTGAGTAAAGTCCAGATTCTCCTGTATGGTTTTTTAAAATATCAGTGATAAGAAGAGTAACTCCTGATCCTTATTACCCCCAGAAAGCAACATGGCCCCACATTGAAAGCATTTGGGCCCCAGTTTTAGGGCAAGGCATTTCAAATTCTAATTATCCCCTAATCACCAGAGGTAGTGTTAACACGTAGACTCTGGATCAGTAGCTCTGCTGCGGGGCTGTATTTCTAACAAGGTCTCTGGTGATGCCAGTGCCATTGTTCTATGGACCAAAGCTTGTATAGAATGTCCATGGGGCCCCATTTGGACAACTATTCCAACTATATGTCTTTCTACAAGGCAGGGCCAGGGGGTGCTTGCTCTGGTGAGATCCTGTACCTTTGCTAGACCGTGAGAGACCACCACAATTCACCTCCTTGAAAATGACTTCCCAAGGTCGTGCTTTGATCTCCTTCCTAAGTCCTTTCTCTGGACCGATTGGGCTACCAAGTGCCATTCATAAGGGTTGGCGTGGATGGAGTTTTAACATATTTAAGGGCCAGCCCCTCATGGCGTAAGGTAAAGCTAAAGATGAGAAGATAAAAATGAGAAGCTGGACCAGAGTCCTGCTGTAATATTGTCCATATTTTTCAAGCTACTGGTGCCAGGATGTGAACCATAGTTAGCCATCCAACCCCCTGTGCACAACACTCCTGCTGTGCTATGGGGCCAGCCCTCACAAGTGTCTGCTCTCTTCTGACTGTGTATTTTCACATAAGCTGTCTTCAAGTTCACAGATTCTTTGTTTTGCTTCATCAATTTTGCTGTTGATGCTTTTTTGTATTTTCATTTCACTCATTATAATTTTCAGCACCATAATTTATTATTATTATCATCATTGTCATCATTATTATTATTATTAGTTTTGCTATAGGGCATGTGCCCTCACCAGGGAAAGGGAGAGAGAGAGAGAGGAAGACAGTGAGAGAGGGAAAGTAGATTACCCTCCAGGGGATATGGCCACACCACAGTCCCTTCTCTTCTATTTTCTTGGAATTTGGGGCACACATATGTACATAGCTTGTTTGTTTTTCAAGCTGCCTGGTCCAAGACTCAAACCAAATAGTTGGCCATGTGTGATCCAACTGCCTTAACCACTGTACCAAGGACTAACTCTGTTTGCTTTATTATTTTTTTATAACTTCTATATCTGTTAAGTTTCTAGTTTTAACCAATTATTGTTCTCTTAGTTTTATTGAATTATTTCTTTGTTTTTTTTCTTCAAGTTTGCTTTGTTTCCTTAAAACAATGATTTCTCATTCTTTGTCATGCATGTTATATATACTCATTTATTTGGTGTCTGCTCTTGATAAATGATTATTTTGGTAGTGTTAGGTCTCTGGCTTTTCATGTTTCTTGTTGTTTTACATTCACAACTACACATTTTGTGAACAGTCACCTCTTCTGGACTCTATAGGCCAGTTTTGTGAGGAGAGACTTACTTCTATGGGAGAAAGTGAGGGGGTATGAAGACACTTCCTGGGTGGGGTGCCATAACTGTCACCAGTGAAGGTGCAGCCAGATGGTCTCAGTGCAGCTCTGTGAGCTGAGGTCAATGTTGATGAAGATGGCAGAATTCTTCACTCAACGCTGTGGGTGTCGACAGTGATGGCACAGGTTTTGGAGTCTTCAGTAGCACTGGCTTCCCAAATGGGAGTGTCAGATTGTGCGTGTGTGCGTGTGTGTGTGTGTATGTGTGTGTAACTTACCAAACTGTACTGATGTGGACATTTTACTATTTTTATATACTCTTATGCACCCTCCTCCATAAGGTAGCTGTCTTAAACAGTTCTTTCCATATATTTAGAACTATGTCAGTGTTATACATTTACTTTCACCAGTAAACATAATTTAGGAAATACAGGAGAAGAAGCAAAATGTATTCATTTTGTTTAAGTGGGATTGATGCTTTTGTTAGCCCTTTCAAATCTGCCTTCTGAATACTACCACTAAATTTCGGAACATTTTTCTTAATAACGAAATGTGTATTTACCAAATCAGAACTAAAAATGGTTTTTATGTTTCCATCAACTGCAAATTCCATCCTGGAAATCACCACAGAAATTAAAACTATGATCAGTGACCCCAGAATTTCCAAAACTACATAGATAAGAGTCTCACGTAGATCAATGCTCTGAAGCTGAAAAAACTAAACTCTGCAATAGTTTATAAATGCTTTAATCATAGGTACTGTAAGAAACAGATGACTAACTGCCTTGAATAACTTTTTTAATGGTTTTATGTTTTTTTGTTGTTGTTGTTATTTTTTAGCTACGTACAAAGTCGAAATCGAAGAACTCCGAAAGGTATTGTTCTCTTCCTCCTTACTAACGTAACTATCAATAGAAGTGAAACAAGTGTATAGGGTTGAAAAACAGGTTTTAGGGGCTTGTATTTTATGAAGGAGAAAGGTCAGTGTTTCATATTTTCCTATGAATCTTTTATGGACTCCAGCTGTTAAGATTCTGAATTCTGGAACTAGCAGATGGTGCAATGGTTATGGCTCTGGACTCACATAGCTGATCGCGTTTGAGTCCCAGACCCAGCAGGTTAATACACACATCGGGCACATGTGCATGCGTGCTGAAGATCCCAAGACGAGAATGAAGGAGAAAGGATTGCGGTGTGGCCATCCCCCCGGGGGGTGATTTCTCACTTTCTGTCTCTGTCTTTCTCTTTAGATGAGAACATGAGGCTCAGAGAGGTTCAGTAACCTATAAGTAAGGTAGAGAGATGCAAGATAAGGTCATCTGACTAGTTATTCTACCAGTGTTGCCATCTAGTTTGCTAGCATTTTTTGTGAAATAAGAACGAATAGTCCCTGATGGAAGGTCCCTACAGGCCTCTCCTTAAAGGAGACTCTATGTGTTATGACACCTGATGTATGTGGTAGCATTCTGATGCTTAGATATTTTCCTTGTTCTTTGAAATTCTTAGCCGGATTCAAACTATGAATGGCTTCAGATATGTCACCACTGAATAAAAGAGGGGCTATACTGTGACCACTGGGACATAATTTTAATGGAGACAAATTGAGATCATGTGAGACCCAACATTTTTCTTTTTTTTGTAGAGGTTTTTTCCTATAGTGTGCGTGCACTCGCCAGAAAGACGGAGCAAGACAGAGAGGCAGAAAGCGAGAAATCACCCCCCCCGGGGGGGATGGCCATGCCGCAATCCCTTCTCCTCCATTCTCCTCTCGGGATCTTGGGCACGCACGCACACGCACCTGGCGTGAGTTTAAGCAACTGGGTCCCGAACTTAAACTGCAGTCAACTACATGGGAGTCCAGTGACATAGCCATTATGCTAACTGCTTGTCCCGTGATACCCAATTTTTGACCAGAGGGTTTATGACCAATGAGTCAGGGAAAAATCCTAGTATTACTTGCACATTTGTGTATATCAACATTGCTCAAATACCACAAATTCTTATTTCCTCATACGATTTAGAAGCTCTTTATCCTATAGATGTAATCCTAGAAAAGGTTACAAAGAACAATTTTTTTAAGGGAAATCGTACATTCTCTCTGGCATGCACCATAACTTCAGAAATGCTTGTTTTCTTTCCTAATTAATCTTCAGCCTCTATCAGCAATATTTCATGGGATGTCCTGTTGGTGTGTGCCTTCTGTACCTAGACTTCATCCCCCTCACCTTTTGGTCTAGTTGCTAAAGATCTGTAACTAAACCACAGAGCATGATTTGGGTTGACTTATGAAAATGACCATTTTCTTCTTTACTTTCAGCCTTGGAAGAGTTTTCTCCATCGAGAACCTAGGTGAGATTTATCTTCAAAAGGAAAAGCATTAGTCCAACTCCTGACCCTCTCACAACTGAACAACTAATAGTTCTCCTCTGTGGTCAGCTGTTTCCAGTGCCTGACCTGGTTCAGTTTCCCTAGCACCTCGCTAGGGGCCAGGTACAGAGAAGGTATTCAGTGATCCTGTTCTACCTTTCTGTTGGGTCTTAATTCTAGCTTATACTGTACTCATTCAGCAATCAGAGTACCCAATACATATTTTATTTAATCCAATATGTCCAAAATATAATTTCAACATGTAATCAATATAAAAATTATTAAGGGGACCAGCAGATGGCATAATGTTTCCATCATTGGACTCCCACATAGTCAACCACGGTTTGAGTCCCAGATCCAGTGGTTTAAAACCTAGGTACGTGTGCATGCATGCCCAAAAGAGGAGAATTGAGGAGAAGTGCCCAAAATCCCAAGAGGAGAATGGAGAAGAAGTCCCCAAAATCCTGAGAGAAGAATGGAGAAGGAATTGTGTCATGGCTATTCTCCCCTGGGGGTTGATTTCTCTCTCTCTCTCTCTCTTGCTCTCTCGCTCTCTCGCTCTCTCTCTCTCACACACAAGTGTATGTGCCCTATAGCAAAAATCTCTCAAAAAGAAAATTAACAAAGTTGAATATTTAAGTAATAATTAATTATATTTTTCACATCAACTTTTTGAAGTCAAAATACATTTCATCCTTATAGCTCAACTAACAGATATATTTCAGTTGTGGCCAGGGGTCTCAACTAACAGATATATTTCAGGATGGCACAAATTAGAACTTTATTTATAGATTGAGGGTACCACAAAAGTTGTGTTTGTTTGTTTAGTTTTTTGCCATAGGGTGTGTGTACTCCCCAGAGAAAGAGAGAGAGAAAGTGAGAAACCACCACTCCCAGGGGAATGGCCATGCCGCAGTCCCTTCACCAACCCCCAGGGGGATGACCATACTGCAACCTGTTCTCCATGGGATTTTGGGCATGCATGCACATATGCCTGGTATGCTTTTCAAGCCACGGATTTGGAACTCGAATCGCAGTGGGCCATATGGGATTCCAGTGCCTTAACCTCCACCCCACCTGCTGGCCTTCCACAGAAGTTTTTAAATGGAGGCAATCAATGTACCCTCTCCCTCATGATATTTCTAGAAGTCACAATACTAAATTTAATTAAAGGTTTATGGAGATTCAGCTGTGTAGAAACTACTGAAAAGAGATCAGGAGATAGAAAGATAGATTACGAGAGCAAGTAAATGTCTTAGAAGAAATACCAGCAATGCTGTGGGAGCAGAAGAATTGGGTAATTCTAACTCAGCAGTGCTTCAATGAAGAAAAGGACACCAACAGTTATTGATGGTCCATTACATGCTATAAAGTGCTAGGCTTTTAACATTTTACTCACATTTCATTTTTTCAGCAACAATGCAAACTGGCATTACAAGCTTTCATTTAAATATGAGAAAACTCAGTTTGTAGAAAAGTTAGTTTTTTAGACTTTCAGAAAGAGAAAGATTGAGGGTTAGAACTCAGCTTTCACTTAACAGCTCCTTTTCATCATGTAACTTGTCTATGGCCTTAATGAAGGATAAGAATGCTCAGTAAGTGGAAGAACGAATAAAACTCCTTGAAACTCTT